GGCCATATTCTAAAATGTGATAGACACTGGTGTGAAGTTCCTGTAATTGTCCACCTTTGCTGAGCCCAAAAATAAGACCCTTGAGACCTTTAGAATCAGTGTATGAGTCCAGAACTGGCAGAATGGCCCTTGCCACATATGCGTGCCCAATCTTGGCAATTGCAGGCTGAGGAATGACAACTCTAGTTTGAGAAGGGGTTCCAAAACCCTTGATCTTGTTACCCAAGTGGCCCCCGAATGTGACGTCGTTCCAAAATTCGGGATCGCCTAAGCAGGCCTGTATACACCCCGTGAGCCTTTGGGACCATCCCGAGGCTTTTACTACCGCCGTACAGGCGAACTCTGTGTCGATCTTTCGGGGGGCCTTGATGTTGTCCAGCGCGTCTTCCAGCAGGGAGGGAATGATGGGGTCGTTGTAGAAGTTGAAGAAACCCAAAGAGCGAAGCCAGGCGATGTCCTCCTGCCGCTCCGATTCTGAGAGCCCCCACCTCTCGCTGTATTCTTCAGCAACCAATGTGGTACAGCGGTCCACTTCAAAAATCTTGACTTGATCTACACAGAAACCCAATATGGGTAGGAGGGACTTGCGGGAGGCCCAGACCCGTTTTCCTTGAGAGGCGTTGAGCGCAACCTGAGCCAAATCGCGTTGAAGTTTAGTTATCTTGAGTGCTTTCAAGAGGAGCTGACCCAAGGCGACCCTCGTGGCTTCGTTAAGTTCGGAGTTGAACCGTGTCCTGAGACCCTTGACCCAAAATGGCTCTTCGGCAAATCTCCTAAAACTCCTTGGGAGAGCCTGAGTCGCTTCATAGACCTGACCCAACATGTTTTCCCAGAAATCAAAGGAGAGGGTGAGGTCCCTTGGATCATGATACCTGACCGCACATGAATCGGGCTGTTCTTCGTCATTTAGACGAATAAGTTCCGCTGATTCGGGAAACAGACCCTGGGCGATCTTCCTAACCTCCAAAATGTTTGTAGGAGTCCACAGGAGAGGTCTTCTCTTACGAACCTGCTGGTGAAAGGCCAGGATATCACAGCCAATAAGGGCATGGTCCCCTGGGACGCCCGCCCAGCAGGCGAAACAGTCAAAAGAGAGATCACTCCTGGCGAGAGCAATGTGATCGATCGTGCTGCTGGCTTGAGAGAGCGCCTGCTCACCATCGGGCTTCCTAGTGAATTGCATGGAAGTCTCTTGGAACCTAAGAGGGCACCAACGGAGATCGAGATATGAACAAGCTTCGCAGAACGATCGGAATTTCTGATCTCCGTTACCTTGATCGGCATTCATGTCCCCCAACCAAGAGAGAGTAGACCCACAGGGCGGGATCGACCGAGTTGGATGGCACAGTTTAGAGAATCATGGAAAAAATCATGGGCAAGATGAGAGAAGAGAAAGGATCTGGCATGATGGTGGCATCCATCGAGACAGTCGGGACGAAGATCAACACGGATAGATCTCCAATCGCAGACAATGTCTTTCACACGTTTTCTCAGAGATTTGTGCACAAGCACGCCCATGGCCCTACACCCAGGGCCAGAGTGATGGCGGTAGTAAGCATGGCCATTGAAAACAGGGCGTAGTAGCCCATCGTTTTGAAGGCAGCCCTTGAAATCCGCCTCTAAGATACAAATTAAGCCCCAGCACTTCAGCTCGAGCAAATCAAGGTTGGCTTGCATTTGAGTCTCGTCGGCCCACTTGCCCTGCACATTGAGTGCACAAACGAGACCCCTCACGTAGGCATCTCAGAGAGATAGTGCCTCGTCGATGGTGTCTTTCAGCGTCTTGCGGAGCGCTTCGTCGGGGATCTCCTTGAGAGACTCGTGCCACTGGAATTCCCCGTCCTTGATAGCACCTATCTGATGTTCCCCACTCCTGCGCGCCACTAGAGCGGGCACAGGAGTGCCCGCGCGAATAGCTCCGACCTCCGACCGTGACGCCGCGGGCGATGACTCTCAGCTCCCCATGCGTCCTCGTCGTCATCGGCGCGAATCACCCGTCTCCAAACTGGGCTGCTCGTAGACTGGCCACGTACCACGAACGTGAAGTGATGGTCTTCGCCACGCCCAAGTTCGAATTGGATGCGCTCGGAAAGATCACAAGCATTTCGCGGGTTTCCCCGCGGAGGGTCGTCGTCGTATGATTCTCTGTCTATCGGATTACCAATGACCTGCGGATGGGGCGCCAGGTGCATCTCCTCCTCTGTCGCTAGAACTGCGGTTTCAGAATCCGCGGGGCGCCCCCGTGACGTCGCGGTCTACATCGGCGGGCACGTGGAAATCCTCGACGAACTCGATCTGCGCAGGTTGCCCCGCGATGGGCATACCCAACCAGCCCGCCAGGTTAATCTCATCATGGCCAACATAGATCTCCTTGAAAAGCTCGTCGGCAGGTCTCTCGAGGGACATGCTGGCACTTCGATACCTGTGACGACCATGACATGGACAGCGGCACTGGGGTGTCTGCGGGTTCGGCTAATAGCGCCCCCCAATCAACATACTGCGTGTCCGACTCGGCTTGAGCGAAAAGTATCGACGAACCCCTGCATCTCCCATCGCCTTGGGGACACTCACGACGGCAATGTTGTGCGCTATGGCAGATGTCACATTCCATGGTTTGGCCGTCGGCATCTTTCGGGTTACCCCGACGTCCATCACCCTTTTCTGAAGTGCGCCCACGGCCTCTACCTGCCCCCAGGAATAGTTCTTCGAATTGAGGCTCTGTTGGGGATGCCAGACATGCCAACATACCTCTGCCATGCGGTCGCCGTCGTTTGCCTTTGCCCTTGCCTCGACCCTTACCCTTCACTCTGAGTGCCCGTCGGATGGCACGTCGTAGCTTACGAACAGGTTTCTTCATATAACGTCTCCAACGGAGTCTGTGATTCTGGAATCCTAGGAATTTCCATTGCGCCTGTTGTTTTGTAAAAAGTGAGCATGTCGGAATAATCTAAGGCAGCAGCTTCGTCATCTGATGACGTGTCGGCGTCGGTTCCAGAGTCGAGGTCAGACTCGGCGGGCTGCCCCGCTGAGCCTACAAGGGTAGAGGCTTGTGTAGGGGCCGCCGTTGCCGACGGCCCCTGATAGCGAGCCCTGTAGTCTTGCGACCCCGTAAGCTGGCCACCATGTTGGGCTAATAAGGCGGTGGCCTCAGTTGGTTGTGGATCATCGTTCCAGACGTTTGTGGCAGGTTGCCCAGCATCAGTCTCATCATGAAAGGTTTTGGCGCGCTGACCGTGGCTAAAGATACCACAAATGTTGCCAGGAGTTCGCTCGGCGATGTGAGCATATGACCTCATACGTTCCAATAGGGCACATGTTTTTGCTGGGCCCTCGGCATTTGGTGGTTGAGTGGCTGTAGTAGTTGTTGTGCACGCGACGTCCCCACTCCCAGAGCCCTGAACAGGATGACTGTTCGGATTTGGAAGTTGGGAATATTGAAGCCTGCGTCATCAGCCTTGTAGCGGGCTATCTCGAAGCGTGCTAACGTCTGGTCGACCCGGTCTCCCGCATGGACTCGAAAATCGACGAGAGCCGTTCCCGAGTTGCGTTGGCACTCCTCCTCTAGATTTTCAAACTTCGTGCTGAGGAAGAACATGATGTGGGTGACGCCATCAGCGCGGCGGCCACCACTATTAACGCCAAAGTTGATGACTGCGGGGGGTACTATGATGGCTACGGTCCGTGCGAGCCCTCCCAAACCGCGCTGTAGTGCCGCAGCCTGTTGGGAGGGGGTCCTGGTGCCTGTGGTCACGTCGATCCAGGCGCATGCCTCTCGAACGAGTTCGCGGAAAAGTACATTAGCGGCAGGGTCCCAGTGAGGGCCGGTTTTTCTTGCGTCGTCTCCACCACGCTGCATGTGTCCCACAACACACCCGATAGCGACCCACAGGAGGCCAAAGATGGTAATACCAATCCAGTGGCCCCGTAGGTCGTGGTCGGACATTCGTGGCTGGGGGTTGTGGCGTGTTGTCGTTCGCCTGCGTGGGGGTGGAGGCGGCACAATGTCGTATCACATGCTACCGTGCATGGTATATTCGAAAAAAAAGTGTCCTATTGGAGTAGGAGGTGGACTTCACGAGTGTAGTAACGCAGGGAAGTAGGACTCGTGTAAGAAGCCTCCGGGAGAACGGAGGTAGCGCTGCAAGTGTCCTTGCGGTTGTGCGTAGTTATGTACATTCCTCCGCGCAGACCCACTGCACCCTGATGTTCCACCATATCAATAGTGAGGAGTAGAGCAAGAGCTGGCCACTGCAGGCTAGCTCCGCTACCAAGTTTGAAGGGGGTTGGGGGGGCCCAACAAGCAGTTTCGCCGAAGGCGAAGCCCATATCCAACTCTGCTGTACCGTAGTAGCGATAGTCCCAAACGTAGGAGATCGTCGCGGGAGCGACGGGCCATGTCAAGCGATGATGTTTTCGGTCTCAACGGCAAGTGGTGTGCCTCGCGATGAGGCACAGTCATACCTTGGCGGCCGGCCGCTTGAGTACAGAAAAGGCCGCGGAAAAACGTTCGCTATCTCTCGCCTTCGCCCCAGCCTCTTTTACAGTGCCCCAACCACAACACTCTCTTTCCGGGCCGTCGGCGCTCCAAGACGGCCTACGAGGACCGCCAGTTGGCTCAAGACGGCCCAAGAGGCCGCCAAGAGCGCCCCCAGACGGCTCGAGAGGGCCCCAAGACGACCAAAGAGGTCCCCAAGAAGCGCCCAAGAGGCCCCAGAAGGGGGAACACGACCCGACATGCCGAACCCTCCGCCCCAAGAGGACCCCCGAGACCGCCAGCAGGCCCAAAAGAAGCCCTCGAGAAGCTCCAACAGACCCCCACAAGCATACAAGAGGCCTCTGACCTACAGCCCAGGCGCGGTGGCGGGGTGGGCCCAAGGCCACTAGATGTCCACATTCATTCACCACCTCCCGAGGTCCAGGACGCTCGGTTTCCCAGGCAATAGATAGATAAATCCAAGCCTCGGACTCTGGGCAGGGACGCCTTTGGCAATCCCCGACGCCTCCCCGTCGCGGAAGATGCGGTACGCCTTCACCCCGCCCGAGGCAGCCGCCCATGCGAGGCTCACGGACGCGCGCGCCACCTGCTTGACCTCGACGCCGCTGGGCACCTCTGGAGGCGCCGGGAGCTTCTCCAGGCGCCCGTGGTGGACCACGTAGGCACCCGCCTCGCCCACCTGGAAGTCGCGCCCTCCGCCCGCCTTGTCCCACCTGGCCGGCCCCGGAAGCCCTGCATCCAAAAATGCTGACGTCTCACTTTTGCATCCGCCGCCTTCCGCCCAGCTTCCGCCGGCTTCCGCCAGCTTCCGCCAAAGGCGAAGCCTTTTCTGAAGCGCCCACAGCCTGAAGTGCGGGCCGCCATCGTTCACCACGAACTCCAGCGCCTTCAGCTTCGGCAGGTGGGCCGCGAACCAGACGGCCCCGCCAATCTCGTCCTTGGAACCGGCGACGCCCAGCACCAAGTCCCTGGCCAAATCCCCCGAGGCCTTGTGCAGAGGAAGGCCGGGCATGACGGTCCAGGCGCTGGTGGGCCCAACGCGGCAGTGGAGGTACGGCGATTCCCACGAGGTGTAGTACAGCAGTGTGATGCCATCCAGCTTTGTCTGGGCGGGCAGCCCAGACTGCGGCGGTGCCAGCATGTCCGCGCTGGTCAGCGCGGGGCCGAGCGCCGCCTGCGCCGGCGCTGGCGCCAGCGCCACGGTCGGCTGGGGCGCAGCCGTCGCATCCTCGACCTTCCCGGCGGCTACTCTCCAAGCGCCCGCACGAGGGATTGTAAAGTTGCCACCGCCCGGGGCCTTGTCCCAGCTGGAGCTGCCGTCATTGAACAGAAACTCCAGCTTCTGCGCCTCGGGAAGGCGCAGGCAGAACCAGCCACGGCCGTCGTAGCCCGGGACCTGGCTCGCTGCCAGGCGCAAGCCGGGAGGCTGTGTCCACGGGCTGTCGGGCCCCACCCGGCAGTGGACGCAGGGGCTCTGGAAGCCCGTGTGGTAGAGGATGCTCACCCCGCCCGCCCCTGCGAGCTCGGCCGGGCTCGCGGTGCCACACTGCGCCACACGCATCGCCAGCGGCGCTGGCGCCGGTGCAGCGGGTGCGGGAAGCGCGCCGCCCGCCTGCCACGGCGAGAGCTGGCCCTCTCGCACGATCCACAGCCCAGCGCGCGCCACCGAAAAGTCCTTGTCGCCAGGCCCCTTCATCCACTGGCCTCCCCCGTCGTTCAGCACGAACTCGAGGGTGGATGTTTCGAAGAAGTGGAATCGGAACGAGCATAAAGTGCTGGAAGTCCGCGCGGATGTCTCGCATCGGCGCCGGGACCCCATCCCTGGCGCGCGGGGCGCGCCGCCAGGGGGGGACAGCGCCGATCCAAGAAATCCGCGAGGGCCTCTAGAAGTGTATGCTCATGCCAATTTCTCTTCTCCGAGATGTCGAAGGGAAGCTCATGGCAAACCAGCCAGGCGAATCGAAGCCGTCGACCTGGCTCTTGCCCAGAGGCAGCCCTGGGGGCCCCGTCCACGGGGCCGCGGGCCCCACGCGGCAGTGGATGTGGGGGCGCGCCCAGGAGGTCTGGAAGACCACGGCGACGCCCGGGGCCTTGTCTGGAGGGCCGGACACGGCGTCCTCGAAGTCGATCGGAGACGAGATGCGCTTCGCGATCGCCTCCTTGAGGGAGGGACGCTCGCGGATGAAAGCCAGCGCCAAGCGGAGAAGCTCCTCGTCTCCCAGAGCCTCCGCCGCCTTAGCCTGCGTCGCACCCATGGCTGTGAGTGTAGGCCTCTGCGCGCCTTCTGGGGCTTCAGGAAATCGCCTCGCTGGACGGAATGCCACGGCAGAAACACGAGCCGTGAACTTGAGCCACGTGTGATGTACACGCCCGCGCGAGCATGAAGGCAACGATACATCGATGCGTCGGTGAATTTACGTATCCGCTCTCGCGCCTAGAGCTCACCGAGGGCAGTCGTGCGTAGTAGAGGAGCCAGCGTTCTTGGGGTGACGCGCGAGCTTCCAAGCCAGAATTAGTGCAGAACCTGAAGCTGAACAAGAATTCGGTTTCAATGGATGCGCCAGGGCCGGTGCCAACAGATTCCCCAATCGCTCCGTGCACTTAGGGCTTCATCCTTGCATAGCTAGGGAATTGGTTCGGTCCGTCGAGGTTTCGCCGCGTCGCTTCCCGCTGCCGCCTCGTCACCACCCACTTGGGCTTGGGGGTCCGTCGAGGTTTCGCCACGTCGCCGCCTGTTGCTGCCTCGCTGCAGCCTCGCTGCCGCCCACATGGTTGGTCCGCCTAGGTTTCGCCGCGTTGCCGCCCGTTGCAGCCTCGTTGCCGCCCTGTTCGGGAATCCGTCGAGGTTTCGCCACGTCGCCGCCCGTCGCCGCCTCGGTACCGCCTCGTTGCCGCCCACTTGCAGGGTCAGTCTAGGCTTCGCCGCGTCGCCGCCTCATTGCCGACCCGTTACCGCCCACTTTGGGGGTCCGTCGAGGCTTTGCCGCGTCGCCGCCCGTTGCAGCCTCCCTGCCGCCCTCGTCCAGAGTCCGTCGAGGTTTCGCCTGGTCGCCGCCCGTTGCCGCCTTGTCGCGCCCGTTGCCACCTTGTTGCCGCTCGTTGGGGGGGGTCCGTCTAGGCTTTGCCGCGACGCCGCCCGTTGCCGCCGAGGTTTGCCGCGTCGTTGCCGCCCACTTGGGGGATCCGTCGAGGTTTCGCTGCGTCGCCGCCCGTTGCCGCCCTGTTGCCATCCAAGTGGGGGGTCGGTCGAGGTTTCGCCTCGTCGCCGCCCGATGCCGCCTCGTTGCCGCCCACTAGGGGGTGCGTCAAAGTTCCGCCTCGTCGCCGCCCGTTGCGGCCTCGTTGCCGACTCGTTTCTGTTGCCTTGGGGGGTCCGTCTAGGCTTCGTCGCGTCGCCGCCTGTTGCCGCCTCGTTGCCGCCCACTCAAGGGGTCCGTCGAGGTTTTGCCACGTCGCCGCGCGTTGCCACCTCGCTGCGGCCCTTTTCGGGGATCCGTCAGGGCTTTGCCGACACCGCCCGTTGCCGCCTCGTTGCCGCCCAGTTGGGTACGTTGGGGATCCGTCTAGGTTTTGCCGCGACGCCGCCCGTTGCTGCCTCGATGCCTCCCTTTTGGGGGATCCGTCGGAGTTTCTGCCGCGTCGCCGTCCATTGCCGCCCGGTGCCGCCCTTTCGGGGGATCCGTCAGGATTTCGCCGCGTCGCCGCCAGTCGCCGCCTCGTTGCGGCATCGCCGCCGCCCACACAAAGGGTCCGTCTAGGTTTTTCCTCGTCGCCGCCCGTTGCCACCTTGCTGCCGCCCACCTGGGGGTCCGTCGAGGTTTCGCCGCGTCGCTTCCCGTTGCCGCCTTGTTGCCGCCCACTTGGGGGATCCGTCGAGGTTTCGCCTCGTCTCCGCCCGTTGCCGCCTTGTTGCCGCCCACCGCGCTTGGGGGGTCCGCTGAGGTTGCACAACATGGCTTGCACCACAAAACTTGCACCACGTGGCCTACACCACCCAGCTTCCGCCACGCAGTTTCCCCGGCCTACACAATCCACAGGGCAATAACTTACTGTTTGGGGTCAACGCTTGCAAACATATTGCGTATATGTATTTTATATATATAGATACATATATATATATATATATATCTTTTTTTGAAAACTCCGCCGCGAGGAGCCCGCACTCGCAGACTCTACTCCACAAGCGTTATCTTAGAGTGAAGATCCGGCAGCAAGCGAAATTCGAGATACCTATATATATATATATATATATGTATATATACATATCTATATACGTATATATATATATATAGATATATGCACATACGTACACCAGAATACAAGGTCGGGGGCCACCCAACAGGGTGCCCTGGCAGCGCATGGCGGCTCTGGGCCTCCGACGCTCTCCCGAACGGCCTCGGGGGCGTCCTGGGCGGTGCCCGAGGCGCAGCACGGAGCGCCCGGAGGCCTGAGGAGGCCTCGACAATATCCCGACAATAGCCCGAGATAGCGCCCAAGACATCCAGATGGATGGCGCCGACAATAGCCCGACGATAGCCCGAGATAGCTTGAGCAGCCCAGATGGCGCCGACAATAGCCCGAGATAGGCCCAAGACATCCAATGCATGGCCCACTGGGACCCCAAGAAAGCTCCAAGAGATCACCCGAGAGAGCCCCAAGAGGCACAAATCGTGGATTTGCCTTGTTTGGCCTTCTCGTGAATTCGAACTTCCAACGCACAGAGAAGGCCGAAGAGACCCCCAAGAGCGCCCCAAGACGGCCAAAAAGGCCCCTAAAAAAGCGCCAAGACAGACTAAGAAAGCCTCGACACTGCCCAGCAGCCGCCCAAGACTGTCCAAAAGCGCCCCAGCACATGCCCAAAATGGGCCCACTAATGGGAACAAGAGGCCCCGAGAGGCTCCCGAGACGTCTCCAAGACCCTCCCGAGGCTTCCAGCAAGCCGAAGACGCCTGGGACACCCCAAAAAAGAGCCCCACGAGCTTCCAAAAACAGCCCCCAAGAGGCCCCCAAGCTGCCTCCTCAGAGCACCCTTACAAGCCTCCAAACTACCTTCCGAAAGAGCCCCCAAAAGTTACAATTATTTGTTATGATTAGGCTTTGAACAATTTCTGGCCTTCTCAAGTTTTCGAGCTCCCAGCGCTGTAAGACTGCCCAAGACACCTACAAGACCGCTCCAGGACTGCCCACAAGGGCCCCAAGACCGGCCCAAGACGGGCCAAGGCCCACAAGGCCCCCAAGACCGCTCCTCGGGAGTCCGCGCGGAGCGGGAAAGCAGCTAACGCGCGCGCGCTGGGATCGGCTCGCCGCCGCAGCCGCGGACAACGACGGCGACGACGACGACGAAGCCAAGAGGGGCTGGCGCGCGGGAGCCCCTCTCCCAAAAACGCGGCCGACCCGCTCAACGTACGAGGGCCAGCCGCGCCTTCGCCTGATCTCAAGCTCGTGCCCTCGCCTTTGGTGGCAAGGAATAATCGCGAGGTTCGCGTCGAGGTTCGAACTTCATGGATCGAGGTTCGGGCCCTCTTGGCTTTCGGGGCCCCTTCCCCTCGCCACAGTGCTGCTGCTGTCGTTGCTGCTGGTGCTGCTGCTGCTGGTGCTGCTCCTCGTGCACATCCCAGGAGCGAAGACGACGAAGGGGAGGGCGAGGAGTAGGATGATGAGGAGGAGGCGGAGGAGGAGGAGTGCGACAGGCGCTGCCCGCCGTGCGCGCCGCGGCGCTCCCCGAAGGAGACGCGCGGGGAGACAGAATACGGCAAGTTCGCGTCGTGTCGACCCCAGTGTTGGTTTTTGACACCGCGGGGATCGTTCAACCTTGAACGATCGGCCGTTTCCGAAACGTCCGATCGTTCAACATCGATCGATTCTGGGTCGCCGGCGGCGTTCAACCTTGAACGCCCGCGCTGGGGTCGCCGCTGGTCGACACGACGCAAACCTACCGTAGGACAGCAGGGAAGAGGTTGGAGCGTCTGGGGGGGCCGCGTGTCATCCCGACCTATCGCCGCAGAGTGCAGGGCCTCATGCAGCGCTTGCCGCCGAGCGGCAGCTCGACAGCTTGAAAGGCCGCGCGCGCGAGCGAGCGAGCGCCATCACTGTCAAAGGGGAGATTGCGACTCTTACTCTCTTGGTGGGCTAACCGATACGACTCAAAATGCATGGCAGTGAATTTAAAAGCTTCGAAATTAGGGTGGATGATATCAAGAGACAGGAGGGGGTCCGAAAAGGGGGGGCGGCAAAATCATATCCGAACTGTCCGCGGATGAGCAGATACATAGGCGAGCACTCAGCGCAGCGATGCTTGAGCGAGCCGCGGGCCCCAGGACATCCCAAAACGCAGCCCGTCCGTGTACGGGCTGCGCATCCTTGACTCCATGATCCACCCACCACCTCCCCACGCCCTACTGCCGGCACTCCCCCAGGACGGGGGCGCACGACGCATCGCCGACACGACGGCCGACCAGCCGACCGCGCGGCAGCATCGGCAGGAGGGGCCCCGAACCAGCATCTTAGACGCGCGCCCAAACGAGGGGGCCACAAGCGAACCCTACAAACGCAGACGGAGGAGAGGAGGGGCAGGCGGGACGGGGAGCGACGATCCAAGGAGGGAGGAGCAGAGGAGACTCTGCGCGCGCGCACCCGCGGCGCCAGCTCCCGGCCTCTCCATGGCGGGCCGGCACGGCGAGGGCCCAGTGCAGCTCACGGGCGGCGCTGGCGCGGGCCGAGCTCAAATTCACCGCCAGCCCACGGGCCGCAGCAAAGGCGTCGCTCAGCCACCACGTGGGCCACGGCCGCCCTGCGACCGCACGCGCGATCGGGAGGTTCCACATGGCAGCCCGGCGCGGGTCGGCCGCTGCCTCTCGCCGCGACGTCCGCGTCGCCGCGGCAGCGAGCCATCGGCGCGGCCGAGCACCGCAGGGGGGCCGAAGGACCGGGTGGCCCTCCGACCTCGGGGAGCTCATGGCATTCGCCGACCCCCAAGAAGCTGCCAGGGAGTCGGAGCCGCCGAGCCAGCAGGCCGCGCTCGATCCTCTCGAGGTCCCTCGGCGCGTCGACGAGCTGCGCCGTGTGCCCCAGCACGGAGAGGCACCGCTCACGATAGAGGAACCCGGCGGAGTGGGCGTCGGCGCGGCCCCTGGCGATCAGTCCGACTCGGTCAGCGCACTTCGCGAGCGGGAGGCGCCTGTGGGCAGCAGTAATTAGTCGCCCCAGGCCCCATCAGCACTCCAAGGTACTCAAGGGAGTCGGCGACGTGGAAGGTCTCCCAGGCGGGGCCAGCTGCCGCCAAGGCGCCCCCTCGCACGAAGGGTGATCTCGTTCGAGAGGGGGCGGCGAACGGAATGGCGGAGCAA